CCGGGCGGCCTCGGCGCTGATGCAGGACCGCCACACAGCTGTGGGCCAGCTGGTCCAGGACCTACTGACCCAGGTGCGGGCCGGCCCGGAGCCCCAGGAGCTGCAGGGCATCCGTGAGGCGCTGAGCAGGGCCCAGGCCATGCTGAGCGCCGAGCTGGGCCCTGAGAAGCTGCTGCCGCCTAATAGACTGGGTGAGACTCCAGCCCCGGCTTTCGCTGGCTCAGCCCCTTCTCTCCATAATCTCAGCTCTTACCCATGCCACTCTCTCCCCTCCGCAGTGCCGCCTGGCTCACCCCTTCACGTGCATTTCATTCCCCACTTCTCTCCTCCCCCCACTCTCCTGTCTCACAAGATCCCTCCTCCTCTTCATCCCTGTCTCGCTGGACTCTGCCCCCACCCTGCCCTGGCTCCCCTGACCCCTGGCCTGCCTCTGCTCCACAGAACGCATCCTGGAGAAGTCCCTGCATCGCTCGGTGCTCAAGCCTCTCCGGCCCATCCTGGTGGCCCGACTGCGGCGCAGGCTTTCCGCCGATGGCTCCCTGGGCCACCTGGCTGAAGGCTTCCGCCTGGCCCGGGCCCAGGGCCCTGCAGCCTTCGGGTCCCGCCTGAGCCTGCCCTCCCCGGTGGAGACGGAGCAGGTGCGCCAGAAGCTGCTGCAGTTACTCCGCACCTACTCACCCAACGCCCAGGTCAAGCGGCTCCTGCAGGCCTGCAAGCTGCTCTACACGGTCCTGAGGACCCACCTGGGTACACCCCCTCCCCCACTGGCTCCTTGCTGTCAGAGGCAGGCCCCTCCAGGCACATTCCAGGAAAGGCACAGCTGGGGGAAGATGGGTCCAACCCTCCCATCTCACAGGTGGTCTAACTGAGGCCCAGATTGTGGAGCATCCTCTCCCAGCCCCTGCTCGTGGTTGCCATAGAGACCACATTGCTCAAGGCCTGGCAGGCGGAGGGGAGGGTCACTGTCTAAGACAAGGAGGGGACTCTGACCGCGGGGCCTCAGAGGAGCCTGAAGCTTCCCTCTCTGCCACCCACAGGAGAGGGCGCGGGGGCCGACGAGTTCCTCCCGCTGCTGAGCCTGGTCCTGGCCCATTGCGACCTTCCTGAGCTGCTGCTGGAGGCCGAGTACATGTCAGAGCTGCTGGAGCCCACACTGCTCACCGGCGAGGGTGAGGGACCTCACACACAGGCCACTTCCTGTCGGGGTGGGGCTGGAGCACCTCAGCGCCTGCACGGCCCGAGCAAGCAGGGAAGGGAGAGGGAACATGTCACCCAACCCCATCCTCCATTCTCCCCGTGTCCCAGGCGGCTACTACCTGACCAGCCTCTCCGCCAGCCTGGCCCTGCTGAGCGGCCTTGGCCAGGCCCACACGCTGCCCCTGAGCCCCTCACAGGAGCTGCAGCGCTCCCTCAGCCTCTGGGAGCAGCGCCGCCTGCCCGCCACCCACAGCTTCCAGGTAACAGGGCCCCCTTACCATCCGCCCAAACTGTGAGTCCCAGTAGGGAAAGGCTGGTCCTGCGCCCCCTGCAATAGAAACAGCACCCCACGCAGAACAACGTCAAGACAGCCTTTCTGGAGAGAGTATGTTCCACTGTGCCCAGTGCTCTAGGCGCTCAGCCCTGAATCTTCACAGAAATAGGGCCATCACTACCCCATTTCACAGATGAGGAAACTGAGACGTGACATGGAAAGGGAATGGGACACAGGTGGCAGGCTGGAGCCTCAAATCCTGGCTTCCAGCCCCAACTGGGGCTCTGCCCACCCCTGGACTTCAAGCTTCCAGCCCAAGCTCCCCTCACCAGACACCATCCCTGCCCTTCACCACCCTCACCGCCCTTCTCAGACTTGGTGAAGAGTCCAGACTGTAGGCAGATCCTGGGCTCAAATCTGGGCTCTGCTACTTTCTGGTTGTGGGAGCTTGAGCAAGTTAGGTAACTAATTTGAGCCTCAATTTTCTCATCTATAAAATGGGATAACAATACCTACCTCCTGGGACTGATAGGAGGATTAAATGAGTTAAAACCAGGACACATGCTCAGGACACAGAGTTAGCTCCATCTGAGCATGATGGTCAGGCCATCCCTGCAGCCTGCAGTAAAACCCACCAGCCTAAGCCTATCTCCCCCTTCCTCAGGGCCCCCAGGACCTCACCTTGTCCAAAAAGCTTTTTCCCGTTGGTTCTACAGAGACCTCAAGCTTTGCAGCCAGATGCGTACCAAGCAAGGTTGAGTTTCTGTGTTTGTTTCTCCTCCTGCACAGCATCTCCTCCGAGTAGCCTACCAGGACCCCAGCAGTGGCTGTACCTCCAAGACCCTGGCCGTGCCCCCAGGGGCCTCGATTGCCACCCTGAACCAGCTCTGTGCCACCAAGTTCCGAGTGACCCAGCCTGACGCTTTCGGCCTCTTCCTGTACAAGGAGCAGGACTATCACCGCCTGCCCCCCGGAGCCCTGGCTCACAGGCTGCCCACAACTGGCTACCTCGTCTACCGCCGCCAGGCAGAGCGGCCCGAGACACTGGGGGCCTCACTTGGGGGTGCCACAGAGGAGGGCAGCGGGGAGCCAGACGCAGGAGGCAGGGAGGAGAAAGGGGGCAGGGAGATGGGGATACTGAGGTCAAAGCCAGTCCCTGTGGCAACTGCTAAGCAGGAGGAGAACCAGGCCAGGGGAGGCCCTGCTCAGCCAAGTGCGCTGGAGGCTGAGGGGGGCCAGGCAGCAGAGGAGTAGCTGGGAGTGGCCCGAGGGGCATTTGGGGCCGAAAACTCTGAGCCTGCTGGGAAGGCCTTTCAGAGCCCTCATGCTTCCCCTGAGCCCTCGCAGGAGCTGCAGCCTCCCTCAGCCTCTGGGAACAGGACAGCCTGCCACGCCTCTGATAATCATCTCTGACCATACCTGCTGGGGGAGTGCCTGGACTGGCTACATCTGCGGCATTGGAGTAAAGTTGAGGGGCATGGGGGACCCCAGACCAAGGGCCTCTGCCTCTTACGCTTCTGCCCAGCAGGAGGCCGGCAGCCCCTTGGAGGCTTCAAGGCCGTTGAACGGCTCCACCTACCCCCGTGTCTGGATGATTCAAGGAGGCAGCCAGGCGCTCGGGCCGGTCCTGCTCCAGGCCACCTGGAGACCTGTACCTCCAAACCGCAGTGCCCTCACCCGTCAAGTGGGGGTGCAGTGCCATCCTGTCTTCTCCCAGAAACCTTCCAGACGTCCAGATGGATGGTTTTCCTGCAGAGCAGAACTCAGACCATGGGAAAGGGAGGGAAGGAGGTGGGATGTCAGCTCCCCCACCCCTCCAAGGGTCAAGGGTCGTTCGCTGCACTTGCCAAGGCTGACGTCCTCCCCTCAGCCTGTGGAGACCCCGGAGGGCAGGTCCCGCTGGAGCAGCTCCCAAGTTCCAGTCTTTCCCGCGATGGGCCATCCTCCCGGGCCCTCTGGCATCCCAGGGGACTTGGACAGGGAGCCGGCTTTCAAATGGATGGGGGAGGGGGAGCTTGGAAACCATTTTCTCTGCACTTAATCCTTTTGGACCTCACAAGAGCTTTACGGGCTCCTAAGATATCACACTGCAGGCCATTAGGGGCGCCCCCACTCAAACCAGGGCATCAGCTTCCAACTACACCCTCTCGCCTTCTAAGCCACCAATAAATTAACCCTCAAGGCCCAGCAGAGCAGGCAGCAAATCTGAGCAAAGGAAATGCCGGCAACAGCCACCAGGGGGTGTGTGTGGCCCAGGAAGCTGCGGAGTGGGTGACACCAAGAGGTGAGGGTGGCTCCAAGGCCTCAGCAGCATAAGCAGTCACAGGCTTTGCACTCGCAGCCAGCCAGCCACCGGGCAGCTGGGGGACAGCAGGGGCTGGGGCTGCGGGCCCTCAGCTCCCTCGGGGCCAGGGGTGTGGATTCGGCCAGCCTCACCGGGACCACGACCTGGGAAGGAACTGTCCCCTGGTTGGAGGAGGACCCCAGCCAGCCTCGGAGGCGCTGCACACTGCGGGACACCCACCTGCTCATCCGGTGACAGCTGGAAGGTGGAAGTCCTGGACACGGGGCTTCAGACAAACCAGGTGCAGCCCGGGTGCCGGGCTCCCGAATTTCCCGCTCGGCCACCGGCAGCATTTCCCACTTCCACCCTCTCCCCCAGCTTCTCGCAGGTTAGGGAGTCTCCCCTTCGGACTTTTGTATGTCCTCCCTCCGACCCCTCGCCCACCCCCAGTGCCTGGCACGGTGTCGGACACTCCACGGGCGCTCAATAAACACCGTCCGCTGACTGGAGTTTGATAACAGTGACGGGCAGTGAGGCGGGAAGCTGGGAGGTTCAGGGAGGGCTGGGTCTGGGAACCAAACACGGGATGTTGCAAGTTCAGTCGGAGAGGAAGGGCCTGGAAGGTTGCAGCGGGGACTCAGAGAACCCCGGGCTGGATGGGGAGCAGAAACTGGGACTGGCTGAGGCTTCTGGGCCCCTGTCTCGGAGGCCACTGCACGCTGCCCTCATCCCCTTCCCCTGCGGAGTCCTGATTTCTGGCTCTGAGAATTCAGCGCTCCCACCCCCGCAGTGGCTCAGCAGAGCACTGCCAGGCCCTGCCTGCTGCCTGGGTCTTTTATCTTCTGATTGGTAAGGTCCAGGCCAAGTAAATCAGCATAAACAAGGTCATTATACAGGTGTGAGGGCTCCAGGCAGGGAAGGCAATGATAGGCTGGTCTAATACTGATCTTGTTATCCCCATTTTACAGGTGAGCAAATTGAGGCTTGCTCGGGGAAAGGGGCTTGTTACAGGGCTCAAACACCAGGGTCTGTGGAGCTTCTGATTCTACAATCCGCCCAAACAGAAGGACTATTTACTCATCCACTCAGCAATAATCCATGTAGTGTCTGTCTGGACCAAGCACCCCCAGCCCCGGCCAGAGGGAAACAATTGTGATCTGGGGAGTAATCAGAATCGGCGCTGCCCGGCCCGAACCCCAGCCTCCCACCTTTGGCCTCTGGAAGAGGAAGCCGGGCTCCGAGAGGCGCCACGCCTTGCCGGAGTCCACTGCCGCGCTGGAACCCAGCGAGCCGCTGGGACCTCTTAGGAGCACAGGTCATTTCCTCCCTGGGCAGTGCTGCCCCATCACCCCCCCAGTCCCCGTAGGTCCATGTGTGTCTGTTTATTGTCTGCCTGGCCCGCTAGCAGGCCACAGCCAGGTTGTCCCGGTTCCCGCTCACCCTCGGGGCCTAGAACAATGCCTGGCGGAAACTGGCTCTCGGTGAATACTTGCGGAGTGACGGATTCGGGAAGCCTCTGCCGAGACTAGACAGTCATCGGAGTCCTGGGCGTGGGCAGTGCATTCTCTACAGCCACCGCCAGGCGGCGAGCACGCACAGTTCCCAGCCTCCAGCCAGGTCCCCTTCTCACCTGGGGTCACCCAGGGACCCAGGGCACTCGGAGGGCCACGCCCAGCCTGATGCCAGGAGGGAAGCAGCCCTGCAGTGGGGCCCGGGATGGGGACGGCCGGCAAACGGGGATCCTGACGCCAGAGGTCGGGACGTGCTGAGGGAGGGGCCGCCTACGGCCAGGGCTTTAGGGTCAGGCAGGCCCAGGAGCAGAGCAGGGCGTGTGGGCTGGCCCGAGGGCGGACTGGGGAGGGGTGGGCAGGAAGGCAGCCCACAGCCGCACCCTGACCCACCTTCAACACAGAGTGCCTAACACCCTGCCCTGGCTTCCAGGCCCATGTTCACAGCCAGAAACACCCTCACATTTGCAGTGGGTGACAGACACCCTGCCTGCCAGCCTTAACAGGAACACACAGTGTTGGGAACACCCTGACAGGTTCACCATTTGTGCCCTGCGGGGGCGGGGGGCACAGGGGCACACAGGCCCCTCCTCCGATCCACAAACACCCCTGGATCTTCAAACTCACAGATATCCCCTCAGCTACTTCCTCTGCGGTTCAGAATGTGACTCCCTGACACACACACAGGGCCAGGCTGACAGGTATGTGGTGACCTGCTACACAGAAACCTCCGGACACACACCTAGCCGTGCAGGACTGCCTGACACACCCGGTGCCCGCTCAGACACGGCACACAGGCACGGACACACACGTGCAAATTCAGACAGACACCGAGACCCACGCAGGCACAGCCTCAGAGACACACACATACTTTGTATACTTTTGATCGTGCGGAAGATAGCCAAGCCCTTCTGACTAACCTCACTCCCAGCCCGACCTTATCTCAGCCACCACTGAGCCACCCTACCCCATGGGGAACTCCGACGAGGGCTGGGAGCTGCTGGAAAGACCCCTGTTGGGGGTGAGGGGTGGCGACCCCACGGCCCCGGGACTGGGACTTTGGGGCCTAGGTCCTTCAGACCAGAGGGTCCTGGGTCCAGAGCAAGCCCCTCTTCTGGGGGAGGGGCTTCCCGAGGGGCAGCACAGCCCACAGGGCCTGGCTCCTAGGAGGGCGGAGGACACAGAGCAGAGCCGGATGAGACAAGGCCCCGGGACTGGGACTTTGGGGCCTAGGTCCTTCAGACCAGAGGGTCCTGGGTCCAGAGCAAGCCCCTAGTCTGGGGGAGGGGCTTCCCGAGGGGCAGCACAGCCCACAGGGCCTGGCTCCTAGGAGGGCGGAGGACACAGAGCAGAGCCCCAGGATGAGACAATGGGCCGCTCCCGCCCGGGCCTGGGCCCCTGACCCCACGCCTTCCTAGTCCAGCAGCTGGGTGTCTTTAGCAGGGGTTAGGCCAAGGGTGGGGGCAGGGGTGGGGTGACCTTCACGGCCATTTGGCCCCTTGGGCTCTCAGCCCGAGTGGACCCCAAGGCCCTGAGGGGCTGGGCCCGCTTGGCCCTGTCAGGCCCCGGGTTAACGACCCTCCGTCCTGCCAGGAGAGGCTTCTGCCAGAGCTGAGAAGGCAGGCGGCCGCACGGGGATGTTTTCCTGCTGAGGTGGAGCCCTCGGCTCTGCCCCCAGCCCCGCCTGCCAGGCCCACGATGCTCAGAGGACCGAGCTGCTCCTGCGGGGTGACAGGAAGAAAGGATGGGGCTGAGGGCAGAACCGGGGCACAGGAAGTGCCTTTCTTGGAACTCTGCACCAAAATAGCCGTCTGTCCCTACTCTGGGTCTCAGTGTCCCATGCGGGAGGTATGTGTCACCAAGGAGACCTTCCCCAGAGAGGGGCCAGAGCTGACCTTCGTCTGGCTTCTGCCGCCACCCTCCCACTGCCTCCCACCCCGCCAGCCCCCGCCATCCCTGCCTCAGGCTCTGCTCCACTTTGAAGTCCTAACATAAATATCATGTCTGCTTGGGTTCCCTTCCCTGCCGGTCACAGCCCCCAGACCTGGCTCCCACCCCAGCCAGCCAGCTCCGGGGGTGCGTGCCAGGGGCGAGGAGGGAGGCCTGGACCACCCAGGGAAGGTGGTGAGCCGGAGACCCGGTTAGGATCGGGGAGACAGAGTGGGCAGGACACCAGATGGAGAGGGGAGACGCGGAAGTGGGCAGAGAACGGAGACAGACTCCAGAAATCAACAAGGTGACAATCCTGGGGACAGGACAGCAGAGAGACTGAGGCAGACGGGACACGGAGAGGAAAGGGAGAGGAGCAGGGAGGAAGGGGCTCTGCAGGCTGAGCCCCGGCGAAGTGAGGGCAGGAAAAGGGCCTGGACAGGAAGAGAAGGGGCAGTTCCAGGGCTATGGGCTGAGACGGGGCAGCAGCGGGCAGGACCTGGTGGAAAGAAACGTCCCTGGTAACAGAGCAACTGACCTTCGTCATTTGCCATGGGCTGAGGGGCTGCCCGGATGGGGGCTCCAGTGCTGAGGCCAGGACGGTCCTCAGCAAACCGAGATGAGCTGGGCACCTGGCGACAGGCCTCTGCAGGGACCACAGAGCCCACTCCCAGAGGTGCCCGCGCACAGGGGAGGAAGGTGTGGCCGAGAAGGGCCAGCTGGGACTTCCCTGGAGGAGCACACAGCAAGGCCAGGGCAGGGCCAGCCTCGAGGACC